TATTTGGGCAGTGGGTCACATGTTTGGTCACCAAGAGGAGACTGGTAAATTTTGAAAAGTTAGGAAGAAACCTAAAGAAGTAAAGAGGATAAAACAGAGAAGATTTAAAAGGAAGAGAGAGAAGGGATATGTCAATGGAATCATAACATAGACACCTCAGAGTATCCCAGCCCTTCTCTGTGTTACCAAGCCCTGTGAACTTGGTCATCTAAACATCCTGCTTCCTCTTCATTTTCACAGCCAAGCCTGATCCAGACCTTCATGACCTCTCTCCTCCTCACTTTCTCTGCCTTCACTTGGGTCCCCTCTAAATCCATGTTCTACACCACTCCCAGAGTGATCATCTCAAAAGATCGCTCTAAACTTGTCATTTCCAACTGAAAACTTTTAATGCCTCCTTCCTGTGGAACACGAGAAATAGCGTGAGCTCAGACCAATCCTTTTGAAAGCTAGCTCTGCCACTTAGCAGCTACGTGACTCTGAATAAATGTCTTAATTTCTCTGCACATCATCTATCTTGACTGTAGTGATAATACTATCATAGACAAGATTCCTTTAGTTACCAGTGACAGAAAACCAATCTACACAGTCTAAGCAAAAAAGAAGGGAGGACTTATTAAGTGACCAACTGAAGCCCAGGAGTATACAACAGAGTTTCAGGGATACCCAGAATCAGGAACTCACAAATATCCCGTGTCATCCCTGCCACTTTTCAGGGGGACGGGTGGAGAGCATCTCTCTCCATTTGTCTCTCTGCGCGTTGTTGCTTCATTTCCTTGGGTTGACTATTTTGCAAATGTCTGAAACATGAAGCAGGAATGACCCACTACCTTTAGGCCTTATCTTCCAGTTTAGTTAGTACCAGTTTTGAATCCCAAATTCAAACTTCTCAAGAAACGTTCTGGTCACCCCATCTGGTGTCAGGTGCCCAGGGCTAATAAAGGACAGGATGTGTAAGAGGGCATCTACCATTTAACCATATGATTGGAACTTCCCTGGTGGTCCAGGGGTTAAGGCTCCATGTTCCCAATGCAGGGAGCCTGGGTTTGATTGCACGCCACAACTAAAAGATCCTGCATGCCGCAACTAAGACCTGGAGCAGGCAAATAAATCAATAGGTAAATGTTTTTTAAAAGAAAAAGAAAATAAACCACATGATCACAGAAAGAACATGTAACACAAGCAAAGGGTGTTGTTTTGGATAGAGAAGCCAATAGGTATTCTCTATGAATTTTATCTTGCATGGTTATTTTGGGGGTATAATACGATGACCTATGAAATGAGCAGCAAATACCCAGGACAGTGCCTGGGCACAGTACACAGTGACAGCTTACAGTAAATCCTCCTTTTCTCCCTTCATCACATCCTTACTCCCAGAGCCACTGTTTACCTAGCTAGTTCCTTTGTCTGCATAGCAAGGAGATCAAACCAGTCGATCCTAAAGGAAACCAACCCTGAATATTCATTGGAAGGACTGATGCTGAAGCTGAAGCTCCAATACTTTGGCCACCTGATGCAAAGAAATGACTCACTGGAAAAAGACCCTGAGCCGACTCACTGAAGACAGGAGGAGAAGGGGATGACAGAGGATGAGATGGTTGGATGACATCACCAACTTGATGAACGTGACTTTGAGCAAACTCTGGGAGATAATGAAGGACAGGGAAGCCAGGCGTGCTGCAGTCCACAGGGTCACAAAGAGTCTGACACAACTTAGTGAATAAACAACAATAACAAATAGAAAGAGATGTCCCTCTGTGGGTGGATGCCACCCCACAGGCACAGGTCTGATAAGCAGAAATTGCCTCTGTGATAAGAAAAAAGTACCCCTTCTTCCCATGTACACAGCATTAGGCCAGGGTCATGGCTTTGCGGGTATCACATGGGCCTTTCTGGGTATCATATTTCTCCCTTTGCCTTGTGCAATGCACAGACTGCCCAGCCCAGGTTGGCCCTGCATGCCCTTAACATGGCATCCAGAGGCCCATGGCCTGGTAGTATCACACAGTTCTCAATTAAACACAAACCAGTTCTTTCACACCACTAATCCTGCATTCTGTCCACCCTACATGGCTCACCATTCCCAAGAAGTTGTGTGCTGTTCCTTCTTGCTGCTTTTCCCAGGCATTCTTATCTTACTCCTATTAGCCTATTAAAGCCCAGGTCAATGACACCCTTCTGCACACCCAGAGCTAGGTACTAACAGCCTCCCAGCACTTCCCAAAGACTGTTCTTCATTCCCTACCACAGCACTGAACACATTATATAGTACTTATCTGTTGAGATCTGTTTGGTTCTTTTAGCTAACCTACCAGTGGGCTGACCTGGACATCTGGGATAATACTCCCCTCTGCCTCCTACTCCATATACAACTGGTGGAATCAACCCAGGGCTCGAAGTACTCCTGGCAGTCTGTTTTGGCTTTTCTATGGGCCAAAGGGATGAGGTCACCATCATCAGTGAAGTCACCATTGCATGATTCATCTGACTTCAGTTCCCCACTTGGAATGTCCAGATATTCCCAGAACTTCTCCCAAAGGATCCAGAACCTGGAGACCCTTCCATCTGTCAAGGTTCTGGAGCTAATCATCCAGCTCCCCGGATCCCCAGGAAGTATCTGCCCTTCTGAAAAGCAGCAAAAGAACTGAGAGGCTGGAGTCTTGAATGGAGGAAGCGTCCATCCTCCCAGTCCTGGGACAGACCTCATTATTCCTCATCAAAGCCTTCCCCATGTCTCTAGCAACTGGCCCAAAGCCTCTACCAGGATCTTTCAGAGCATGCTGTGAAGAGCTCTAGAGCTGTCAAAGGTGAGCCTTGATCACACCCTATGGATGAGCTCACATTTATAGATGAGAAACCTGAGGCCCCGATAAGAGGGATGGCATGCTCAAGGTCACACTGCTAACCACTGTCAGTCAGTCAGTTGCTCAGTCACGTCCGACTCATTGTGACCCCATGGACTGCAGCCTGCCAGGCTTCGCTGTTCATCATCAACTCCCGGAGCTTACTCAAACTCATGTCCATTGAGTCCAATCATCTCATCCTCTGTCATCCCCTTCTCTTGCCTTCAGTCTTTCTCAGCATCAGGGTCTTTTCCAGTAAGTCAGCTCTTCACATCAGGTGGCCAAAGTATTGGAGTTTCAGCTTCAGCATCAGTCATTCCAGTGAATATTCAGGGTTGATTTCCTTTAGGACTGACTGCTGTCAGAGTTGGAACCAAATGACCTCTCTCGGCTGAGCGTATGCAGTCGCTCCTTAACCTCTCTCAGTAGACTCCTTTCAGAATTCTAGTCCCAGCAAATGCTGCCTGAAGAAGTGGTCCTGCAGGCAAAGGAGGTAAGTCCTCCTTTCTTCCCCTCTAGAAAGAAGTGGCAGAACCGAGATCTGACTTCAAGACACCGAACTGCTTTCTTTAACCCATCATTCAGTACATACAAAGTGTCTTTCAGATTGACTGCATAATCTAAAGCAGCCGGCAATGTAAGTACTCACACTCAAACACGATGCAGGGGTCTGGTGAGACATCCAGTGGGACTCCACAAGGAACTTCTGAAAAGCCAGGATGTCTTTCAGGACAATGGAAATCAGATTTGGGACTTGAGAGTTGAGGCCTCGGAGGCATGGTGTGAGGACATAACTAACTGAGCATTTCCCACGGTGTGTTCCCAGAACCTGAATGCTGGAAAGAGGTGGAGACCTTTAGGATAACCACTTCACCTGTCTGCGTCTCAATTTGCTTACCCACAATCTGAGAGAGATCTCAGGGAGACCGTAAGTTTGACCTCTGCTGTGCCTCTCAACACAGCGTTTTCTGATCCTGTGAACTGACAGGAAGCGATTTATCTAGCGTCAGCGAGGGGAGGGAGGGTGTGGTGTCAACGTGGAGTGTATCATCCCCGCCTCCCCTCTCCTCCAAGGCCTAAACTTAGATGTAGCACTTTTGGCCAGTGAACAGATGGGTGTTTCCAAGCTTCGTCCAGGCGGGAGGGCAGGGGTTGTCGCCTGGCTCACTGGCCACGTCTTTGAGCTCTGGGGTGTATCACTCCTCAGGGATCCCAGCCTAACACCTTCGAGGGATACTGGGACGGTAAAGGGGCCTCAGAGATGTCGCCTCTAGGGGGAGCACAGGTACATCCGCAGCATCCAGAGTCTCCCAGTCCACCTTTGCTGGCATAGTTCGGGGGGTGGAGAGTGCGTCAGTGGTTCAAGATGCTGTAACTCCCTTAGTCACCAGTTTCATAGCAAATGATTCAAGCTCTGATGTGGACAGCATGAGTTGGGTTGGTGGGGGGGAAGGAGTGGAAACCAAGCCTCAATGTAGGAGTTCCTACTTTCCAGCTCAGGGACTACCGCCACCCCTCCCCCGTCACCCCCGTGCGCCTGAAAAAAAAATTTTTTTTTTCTTTTCAAACTCTCTTGGCCCTTCCTTCCCGATTTCTAGTTCTATTGTGCATTTAGAGGCTAATAGAATGGATCCTGCCTTCCGGGTGGAGTTTAAATATATATGAATAATTTTGCACGACTATTGCGTCATCATAAAAGTCGTCGTGGTCCCCCAAGAGGGCTCCACGTCTTCTCCCAGCTTCGGGGCCTTGGGACGCTTCTGGGCGCTGCGGACACTTTCGCGAGGAGCCCTCGGCTCCGCCCGAGCGCGGGTCTCTCGGCCCCCCTCCCCCAGTCTCACCTTCCTCCCCGCTACGCTGCTCCTCGGCTCCTCCTCCACGCCCCCTCCCCGCAGCCCTCGCGCGGAGCCAAGCTAGGGTGAGCCGGCAGGGCAGAGCGGCGGCTGCGGGCGGGGCGCGGGGCTCTGGAGCCAGCCGGCGGGCGGGCGGGGGCGCGAGGCTGGCTGCCCGCAATCGGGGGAGGCGCCTGGGCCCGCCCTCCTCCGGGGCCCAGCGGGGAGGGGGCCCCGGCCCGGCGCAGGGCGGGGTGAGCCGCCTGGCCCCTCCCCTCCGCTGCCCTCCCCAAAGTTGCCGTCTCCCCCGGGGCCGGCCAGTCTTATGATCCAGTGGATCCTCCTGGGGAGGCCGGGCCGGGGAGAGGGCGCGGGCGCCGAACGGCGGGGGCAGCGGGCGGGCGCGGCGACCGGGGCCCGGGCGGGGATCCGGGCAGCGACCGAGGCGGCGGAGGCGCCCCGGGCCCGTCGCCCCCTCCCCTCGGGCGGGGGGAGCCGCTGCATGGGGCCGGGGGGTCGGCCCTGCTGCGCTGAGCGGCGGCGGCGGCGGCGGCGGACCCCCCAGGCGGGCTGGGGCTAAGCCCGGGGCCGGGGCGGGGGCTCCGGAGGGACCATGCCCGGAGGCCGGCCGGCCGCATTATGGCTCACGGGCCCGGCGCGCTGATGCTCAAGTGCGTGGTGGTCGGTGACGGGGCGGTGGGCAAGACGTGCCTACTCATGAGCTATGCCAACGACGCCTTCCCGGAGGAGTACGTGCCCACCGTCTTCGACCACTACGCAGGTAAGCTTCGGAAGTGCTGACTAAGGGGCATCTCCCCAGGCCGGGAACTTTGGAGCAACTTTGGATGAGCCCCCTCGCCGCCTCCCCTGCGTGCGCTCCTCCCCCCTCCCCCGCCGCGCCCTCCACGGGGCGTCCGGCCCCACCCCCAGGCTATCCCTCGGGCAGCCCCCTTGCCAACTGGACCCACCCCTCTTCCCACCCCGCCCCCCCCAATCCCGGTGCTCAGTCCCGAGTCCCGCGTCCCGGCGCCCGGCACTTCCCAACCCCCTCGGTGCTCCGGGCCGACCTCCTTGACCTTCCTACAGTCGCCTTCCCAACAGTCTCAAACCCCGAGGGGGAAGCGTGGCTACGGGACTTGGGAGAAGGGAGTGGGCAGCTGGGGGCCACTTCATCCCAGCCTCACGCCCACTTCACCGTGAGCCTGGGAAAAGGGGTGGCATCTCCCTGGGAGCTCCCGCCTGCGAGCGCTGGTTTGGGAGGGGAGGGTCCTGGTGGGGAACAGAATGGCCCCAGAGTCTAGGTAATTGAGCTTCTCTCCCCGCCCCCACTTCTGCCCTTGCAGTCAGCGTCACCGTAGGGGGCAAGCAGTACCTCCTGGGACTCTATGATACAGCGGGACAGGTGAGTGTCTTGGCCCCGGCCAACACCCCCCTCCCTTTCCCCAATTTATGGTGATCGCGAAGAGCCTTTAGAAACTGAGGTGTCTAGGAGCGAGGGTGTGTCTGCGAGGGTCCCTCTGGATCAAGTATTTCTTTGAGTCAGCACATTGGGAAAAAGATAAAACCTCAGCAACAAAGGCAGACCAGCCCACCCCCATGGGAACCCCTGGGCTGAAAGTTTTTGCCTGTGTGTGCCTTCTGTGTGGTGCCTGGTGTGTGGGTCCACACCAACTCCTGTTGCAAAGTGGCAGCAGCCAATCCTGAAGCGCCCTTATTTTTAGTTGCAGATGACCAGGTCTCCCCTCACAGCCTTTGTCTGGTCCCTCATTGGTGAGTGGTCTGCCTGCCCGAGGAGCCTGATTGGTGGGAAATGGCATCATCTAATATGATGGGAAGGCATTTGGTCCTGGTTATGTTTATTACAACATCATTGCACTCTGGGACTCAAGTCCCTGAAAACGTAATTTGTGGTGTTACGGAGGACCACAGGGAAAAAAAGGAAAAGAAACAACAACCATCCAGCCACTCCCTGGGGCAGGGAGAGGAAGGAAGGGTTAGGAGTTCAGCCTGAACCTTTGAGGAAGAGCTTTTGTTGTTGTTCCCTAGGAAGGCCAGGTGACTTTGTCTGGGTTTTCTTTGGTAGAGATCACTGTGCAGAAAGAAAATGCACCCTCCTCCTGTCAGCCTCTAACCATTACTGGCAGATTAGAGGTGGCTTCTGAAGGATTGAAGTCTCCTTTCTGACTCTACCAGTTCCACCCTTTTCCCAAACCCACTTTTGCTGTGGGCCTAAGATGTGTGATGAAGTTTTGCAAAATCCAGCCCTGTGATTAGACCTGAAAATTCAGACGGAAGTTTCTACGTGTCATCCTGACGAGTTCTTGAGGACATGTGGGCATTTGAGGGCCTTAGAGAGTGTCTGTAGGGAATGTCCAATAGTGCAGTTTCCTTCTGTGTAAGATGGGGTGTAAAAAATTCAGACCATTCCCCTGGGCATGTATTATATGCTAGATGCTTAGCGTTGAGTCTGGCACATACTTGGTAGGTCAATAAAGAGGAGGTTTTCTTTGTAACTCATCTAGTTCTGGGTTTCAGAATTGTAGTATCAGGTTAGATTCTGGAAAATGTCTTCTCTGGGGGCCTCAGTGTGACCTCTGGTTTCTGTATTGTGAAGTTAGAGGAGCCTCTGAGAGAGACTGTTAGAATAGACTCTATAGAGTAGCCTCAAAAGGGAGACTGTTGTCAGAGAGAGGTGACTAAGGCCACCCCCTCTCACCAAACACCCAGGTCAGTATAACCGGTTCTTTTTAGATTTTTTTTTTTTTTTATGTGGACGATTTTTAAAGTCTTTACTGAATTTGTTACCATATTGCTCTGTTTTACATTTTGGTTTTTTGCCCGGAGGCATATGGGGTCTTAGCTCCTGGTCAGAGATAGAACCTGCACTCCCTGCATTGGAAGGCAAAATCTTAACCTCTGGACCACTGGGGAAGTCCCAATATAAGCAGTTCTTAGCTTTCCAGGGCCACTTTTCATTACCTGCCTTGTAGCGACTCCTTCTGTCATGGACGGCAAGAGGCAGAACCCATTCAATCAAATAAGACCAATGTTTAAGCAGTACAGCTGGTAAACAACAGTTTGAAATTATTGGTTGAAAGGAGAGAGGTTTTTAAGAATCATCTCTAATTTTAACTTCTCTCACTAGTGCCTCTTCCCTTTTCTTTGTTACTTGTCACCATGACTGTTTTTTGACCACGAGCCCTATTCAACAGGACGTGTGTGTGTCAGAGCTGTTCTGTGCACATTTGTATCTGACTAATATTTGCTGACTTTCTTCTATTGTACATATGAGGCCAGGGTCATCCACATGCAAATATTATATCATCTTCTTCACTAAACAACCCCATGAGATAGGTGATCCACTATCTTTGCAGATGAGAAAAGGAGCTCAAAGAAGCTAGGTCGCTGATCTAAGATCACGCAGCTACTGAAGGGTGTTGCTGGGGTTAGGACATGGGTCTGAATATAGAGGTGGTTATATACACAGGAAGCCATGGGAGGTGCTGAGGTAACACCTGGGTTGATTGGGTTGCTTGTATGTCTGTAGACATGGTCCCTGGAATCTTCACAGCTATTCTGAGTGGGGGTTATATGCCAGTCCTGCAGAGGAAAGAACCCAGGTCCAAAGAGTCAACTGCTCTTTCCAGTGGACATTGTAAGCTGTATACCTAGTGGGATCAACCTATTAGTGATTACAGTTTACTCTTTTTACCCAGTGGTGGATCACCTATTCTGTTGGCCACGAGGTGGACTAGGCCCCCTTGGTGTTTCTCTCAGTGTCTTAAGACTTTTCTTAGCAATAATTCATCTTTCAGCATCCAAGCGTTTATTACTAATAAGCAATCTTAGCAACATAATCCTCAATGAGATTAAATGAGTGCCCACTTTGTACCTGTGTGTGTCTGTGCTCAAGTTGCTTCAGTCATATCCGACTCTTTGCAACTCTGTGGCACCTAGCCCTGCACTAAGCAACTGGGGGCTACAAAGAATAAATTTAAGATAGGGATCTGCCATGGCCAATGACAGCATAGGTGGAAGTGTTTGAATTAGATGCCATGAGTGTTATCTAGGAGGTACTTGTGTTGTACTTGGGCATTAAGGCCTCATGCCTTTATGAATCAATATCAGATTAATCTTATAATAATAATAGTGATCAAGAAACACATATACATATGTAGAGAAATGTTAAATTCTAAAGGGCACCAGAAAAAAGCCCATGGGCTTTGGAACCAAATTAGCTTGGGCCCGGATCTCTACTTGGCTGAACTGTTCTTGTGATTCTTACCACATTATTAACCTTCTTTGTGATCTAGTAAAAAATGTAGATAATTAAAATCTGCACTGCAGTGTTGTAGGCCAACTTAAATTTTTTAATGTGTGGAAAAGCAGCTGACACTATTCTTCATTCATAGTAGTAGATGTGTAATAAATACTTGGAGAAATTACTGTGCTCCACTGTAGGCAGTTTTGTGGGGTGAAGGGGTCTCAGGTGGAAGAGGGCAGTGTGTTATACTTGGAGTTGATAGAAATTCCACTAGGATGCCAGATCCCAGAGCCTTTTGAGTGGAGCCATGGTGCCAACTTTGTGCTTCAGAATTCCCACAGTCTCCATCACTACCCATGGACACAGTTGAATGCTCCCTTCTCTAAATGCCCTGTTGTGTCAGATGGTTTTCCTTTCTCCATCAGAACCTACATCCACAATGATAGAACTCTTAGCAAAATGAAGAGTTCAGTGTAGAATTTGAGAACCAAGTGGGGTATGTAGGTTTCAGTTGATGCTACTTTGGGAGGTAGGTTGGGATGGGGAAGGAACTCATAGCACTTTCAGATATTCACTTGTGGGTACTTCCCTGATGGTTCAGTGGTTTGGATTCTGCACTTCCAATGCAGGGGGCATAGGTTTGATCCCTGGTTGGGGAACTAAGATCCTACCTGAGGCCAGAAAAAAATAAAAAAAGTTTTAAAAAATAAAGTACAATGTTCCCTTGTGTACTTGGGTGCTCTCTATATTTGATTCATAGCAACAACACCCTCCTCAGGTTGGTTGGGACTTCTAGTCTGGGCACCTACTCTTGGGTTCCCTCTTAAAAAAACTTATTAATTTTTATTTTTTAGCTGCCGTGTTTGGCATGTGGAATCTTGATTCTCCAAGCAGGGGTCAAACCTGAGCCCCCTGCATTAGCAGCATGGAGTCCTAACAACTGGACCACCAGGGAAGTCCCATTGGGTCCCCTCTTTGACCCCATGTAACAAAGCCATGTAACAATGGCCCAATTTATATATTAAAGAACATATTAGAACAATTCAAGAGGTGGCTGTAGCAGATGACCTCTTGCCTTCCAGAGCAGGCAGTTTCCCCCTTCACCTCTGCTGCTGGCAGAGAGAGAGAGAACATGAGTGTGATGCTCAGTGTTAGTCCGGTCACGTTGTCTGCCTGGGCACATCCCGCACCACCACCAGCATTAGGCCAAAGGGAAGCCCCCCCCCCCCCCCCCCCCCCCCCGTCTTGGACAAGACCCTGGGTGGCCCAGGAGCAGGCCCAATATTTTACTGCCAAGCTTTTCAGAGTGGAAGTTGTGGACACTCCCTCCTGCTCCCTGGGGCCTGCTGGAGGGTCTGGCTTCCGGCCTGGGCCTCTGCAGTGCTTCTCCTTTCTTGCCCAGCTTTCAGGGCTCTGAGGTCGGCTCTGCAGCCCCTCTGTCTGCCCACAGAGGGGCTAGAAGGTGAGATTTTCCCCTCCTGCCTTTGTGCAGGGAGCTTGGGGGAAGTGGAAAGCGCTCTGGCAGATGAGCCGGTGGGAGCTGCCTGGCAAGCTGCTCTCCAGCACCTGGCTGATCTCTTAATCCTTGGCAGGAAGGCAGAACTTGATACCTTGAAGAGGGAAGGACAGACGCCCAGTTTATCCCAGGTCCCGGAATACCCACACTCAAGAGGGTGTGTTTTGGGTCTGAGTTTGTGTTCCCGGGAGTTCCAGATTTAGCCACTGCCTCAGTGCGTACACATCCATATGTGTGCTTTGGGGTGTACTGTTGCTATATATGTTAACTTAAACACACACAAGCTCAAGGATGCATACAGGAGAGCTATAAATACCTTAGCTCAGGTGTCCCCGGGGCTTGGTTCAGGGACTGGCAAGGTCTGTTTCTTACTTGTCATAGCCCAGCAGCTGTGGCTCCCTTGCAAACTCTCTGGGTACCCAGGAAAGCACTTCCTTTCCAGAAGGGAATCTCCAGGGCCGGTAGCCTGGGAGTGCCCCGCCTTCTGGAATGCCCCGCCTTCAGTGTTTCCTTGGGCAGCACCCAAGGGCCCAGGGTCATGGGAAGGGGGAGGGGAAAGCCCAGGGAATTGCCACTCACGGAACACCTCCTGCCTTCGGGCCAGCATCCTCACGAAACCTCC